ATTGTTAACGCACAATGTCATAGCAAAGTAATAAAGCTTGAGCTCGCATTCGCACAAGGGAATCTTCGATCCAATGACATTATGACAAACACAATTCTCTTTTCTTCTTTTTCTCTCTCTCTCTCTCTCTCTCTCTCTCTCTCTCTTTCACCCTTTTACTCTCCATTGAAAGAGATAATCATAGCAAAGTTTTATACATTAACCACCGACGATAAATATCACATAACGAGAAAAATTGCAACTCGTTATTCGACTCACGTGATTTATTTGTTTGCGGGAGCCCCGCACACCTTGGCGTACACGCGTCCGAAAGTCTAGCTACATCACAGGCGCCGTGTCTAGCTAATCGCTTTTCTATCTTACTAACTATATTCAGAATTGGTAGTCTCATATTCTGTATTTATTTCAAATGAACATTTGTCGCGCGCGCGCGTGCGAGCGCCTTGTTCATCGTTCAACTCCGAGATTTAACTGAAGGGGGCTTCTGGATGTCGCAGTGGCAAAAATATTAAAAAAGTATCAACAACGCAGTCGCCGCATACGTACGTCACTTGCGTAAGCGCAACGGGTGCGGGGCTCGCTTCAGTTTCGGGGGCCGCAAGGAAGAGTTCAGAGATATACCTGGTTCAACATTGCAAGCAAAAATGCATAAAAACTTGATTCAAATTCCTTTACTTTACAGCGGCGCTCTCACACGTCGTCGAGAAGCGTTGCGCCAATGTACGAGATAACGGAAACATGTAATTAAGAATACACGTTTCTAAGATGAAAATATAGAAAAAAAATAATAACGTGTTTTTAGTCTTTAAACGAATCTCTCTTATACGCGATAAAGACTCTCTCATGTCTATTTTTTAATTATTTTTATTTTTTTATTTTTTATTTTTTTTTGCAAATTTATACCCTAGTTATAGAACCAATTATCCTACATATTACGTCGTCGAAAAAACGTGAATGTAAATGTTGGAGTAGGTATATGACAGAACGATTTTCGCGATAACCCCGGAGCAACTATGTCGCACGTAACAATTAGCCGGTCAATGATCAATTTCATTGCGTGGGGTACTGGTGTGGCATGGTATATGTCACCATGGTAGGTTGCTGGCCTGGTGGTAAGGGCGCACTTGCCGTCGGGGGTGCGGCGGTGGCTTGCGTCGGTTGCCAGGCTCCTGCAGTAGGAGCGGGCATTCTCATGCTGTTCATATATTGAGCCTGCTGCCCATAATATTGACCGTAATATTGTGCGGGCTGTAAAAACTGTCCTTGCATCTGCGGGTAACCCTGTGGATACCAATAGCCCATCTGCTGGCCGTAACCGTAGGCGTATTGACCGGCTCCCGTGGTCACCTATAATAAAATTTTGATGATTATTTACAGTTCCGTAATATACATGTGTGTGATAAAAAATGTAAATCGTATGTAGATATATAAAGTTTAGCTAATATATTATGGGATTCAAAAAGATAAATTAAGTAATTTACATAGGTCTAAGAAGGGTGCGAATGCTCTCAATATGCTTGCAAATAAATCTGAAATAAATACATACAAATGTACATAGATATATATACAACGATTGGATAAGCCTACTGTAAATGTTATGAGTACGTAAACAACCTGTTGAGCTTGATGATTGGCGTTAGGACCCACGCTGTTTGGATCACCGTTTTCTTTTCCCCAAAAACACTTAACAATGCTACCGTTGATTTCTGTATTATGTGTCGATTCGATGGCGTGTGTTGCGGCCTCCTTGGTTGTAAACTTGATAAAAGCGTATCCTTTGTCCTTGAACACTCTTATGTCCTGTATGGTGCCAAAAGGGGAGAATGTTTTCTTTATCAGCTCGTCCGTGATGCCGTTTGTGAAACCTCCGCAATATACAGTACAATTGGTCGGACTACTTTGGTTATACACCTGTTGGGAGCAACATTGCAATCAATCGTTGGATTATCCTGTTAAATTTCACATCAAATCGAAATACAAACAAAATCAATTTTCTTCTTCTCTTTTCTTTCTCTCTCATCTCAAGTACTGCATCTATGATGTTTGTATCTACTGCTAGTTACTTGTTTCACATCCATAATTGCATTAATCATAGAATTGGAATTTTATACGAAATATTCGTGAACAAGAATTTTCAAGTAAAAATAGATAGATTTTTCAAACACCCTGTATTATGTATTGTATAAATAAAAGTATCGTTAGGTTAAAACACAACGGATTTAAATGTTCCCACATAAGCTATTTAAAACAAATTTTAAAGAAATACAAATATAAATCATATTCCACATAATTTTGAAGATTCATAAAGCATTCGTCAAAACTATATGCAAACTATTACGAATATAATAAAAGATCATTTAAAAGCTGTTACAACATACAAAGTTGATATACAATAAAAATATAAAGTTAATATACAGTATAAGGCAAAATGTGCACGAAATATTAAACTTATCTTAAATTGCTCGATCGCAATTACCTAGAAACATAATCGTCCAGCTTGCTACGTACCTCTTCATAGTTGGGTTTACTATTGTTCGAGTGTCGCGGCCTCTCGGACCTCGGTGGCGGTGGTTTTCTAGTAGACCAATTTGTCCTGATGCTGCGCGAGCCCAGCCACTGACCGTTCATCGCGTTGATTGCCGCCTCGGCCTCAGATTTCTTCACAAATGACACAAATGCGTAACCCTTGCTCTTGAGCGTTTGCGGATCACGCACGATCCTGCAGTTACTGATCTCGCCGAAGGGAGCGAATGCTTCCTTCAGAGTCTGCGTCTCGATCTCTGGTGATAGATCCCCGACGAATATGTGATGGTGATTGCTGGTGTCGAGTTTAGGCTGATTGCCCGGACTGGTCGCCCAGTTAACCTTCATCTCCTTTTCCAGGAACGAGCGTTTGTTCATGGCGGCCAGTGCTGTGGCCGCGCACTGGTGATTCGTGAATTCGACGAAAGCATACGGATCGTTGCCGGGCTCGCGAATGATTTTGCATCCCTTGACTGCGCCGATCTGCGAGAAGAGCGCGCACAGAAGGTCCTCGGACACCGAGACGTCCAGGTTGCCCACGTACAGCGTACGCGGATTACTTTCCTCGCTCATGTCGCGCGCACTACGGACACTGCCGCGGCGAACTCGAACTTTTTTCGCTCGTTAAACTAGACTAGAAGTTTGTTGGTTGGCTTATTCGCTCGTTAGTTCGTTCGTTCGTTCGCTCGCTCGCTCGCTCACACACTTACCCCTCTCGCCGCGACCGCTCGTTGAGGCAGGCTTTTAGCGCTGCTAGCTTCCGCGCTGTTCCGCGCGTTGCTAACACAGCTCTCCGCGGGAACGCGTTCACGCTGCGATCGCAATTAAGTTCACATCACTCGCGCTGCAGTAGCTGCATTGGCAGCATTAGCCGCTTAACAGCAAGCACCAGGCTCGTTAACCCGCTTTTCTCCTTGCGCACGTCGACAATAAGAACGCTAAGCTACACCCAGCCTCTACGTCATACTAACATAAAATGGCCGCCTCGCGCTGTCCTGTTCACACACAGCCCACTTTCCCCTTTGACGCGCGCGTGCCGAATATCGGAGGGAGCGCGTTAAACGCGCGTCCGTCGAGTGCGTCTCGTACCTTACCTTCCGCTACTCGGCAATCGTCTCGTGTCGAGACTACGCACGGTGCAATCCACTCGCATAAATAAGACTAACGACGCTTCAACTCGCACGAAAGACACGTGTTTCTGTATCACCCGTCGAGTTTTCGTAACAGGTAGCGCGAAAACCCACGCAAAGCATTGGTCTCGCAAAATTCACTAGGTGTTCGAATCTGTTCTTTCTTCGGAATGGCTGCGTTTGGAAAACACAACGGTTTTACAACTGTTTGGAAATTGAAAATGACACTTTATAAGAGCCTATCCAGACAAACTTGCATAATCGCGTAAACATATGTTCAAGGAAATTGATTGGTCCATTTCCTTATGCATATGTTTACGCGACTGTAAATGGCTTAGTTTACACCGATTGTTTAGTACGCATACTAAGTACTAAATCTGCTTCTCCGATAGGTATAAATCGTTTAGTGTAAAATCTACACCAATCAAAGAAGCAGATTTAGTACTTGGTACGCGCACTAAACAATCGGTGTAAACCAAGCCAGTTTGGCTGGATAGGTCCTGAAGGTGTATCCACCCAAACTTTCAAATCGCAAATTGTGACTTTTGATACATTTTTACTTATTGTTACATTTAAACGTTTTCCATCCATTTTCAACATTTATTCAATATTTTACATATTAAAATTAGTTTAGCTCAAGTTTTTTCATTGTCATCGTGTATAAAAATATCGTAATTTTAATAATGATACATAACTGTAACATACATAATTATATACAATTATAATATCACAGATTGTAATTTGTATCAGTTAAATCGACAAGATCATTATTTTGCCCTACCATTCTCTTAAAATTGCATTGGTATACGTTTGGTCGTTGCAATCTTCGGTACTCGTTACATCTGACATATATGTTTCAAGCTGCTTTGAGACTTGGGCGTGATAAGCTTCAACAAGGCATACTTCTCTATAGAGATCTTCTGTTGACATTTCAATAATGGTCGCGCATTCATTCAGTAACCATCGAAAACTCCGTGGCAGCATTTTCTCAAGTAATTCAAAATTCTTTAATTTTACACGGCTGAAGTTGCAATGATACATCCAATAATTTTTGAAAGGTGTGAACAATCTAAGGACATTGTTTTTATTTGATTTATTTGAATCAATATTCAATTTTTTATCCAATACGTTAAAGAGAGAGTCCTCAATTGCTGATTCGAACATTTTCTGATAATCTTTGGATTGATCAATCACACTATATTCACTTATCTCGAGATTATCAAAGACAGATGCATTAATACTCAAATTTAAAATGTCAGATATCTCGGGTAATAAATTTTTGGTTTCAAGATTTTCTGATGAAATCAATTCAGCATCCCTTTCATATTCATCTTTGTTTGGCTTTTTGTCTTGATTGGTAGAGATAGCACTGTGTTTGACAAATTTACCCTGCGCATTTCTAAAATGTTTGCGTTTCTGTTGTTTCGTACAATTTAAATCTTGAAACGTACCTTTCTTTTCCGCATCTGAAAGATTTATAGCGTATGTTTTACAAATATTGAGTAACAATTTTGTTTCTTCAGGAACAATGTCTTTTAAATATGTATCATTGTCTCTATCTTCATTATTATCTTTGTCTGAAATCGACAATTTTCCATCCGGAAGAATTTCGTCAAATATAAATTCATTAGACCATGCTGATGGGGGATCACTTTTCACATCCGTAATTATGTTTTGCATATAGTCAAAGTACTGTCTTTTCTTCATATCTATTTGAAGCTGACAGGGTCCTTTTCTATCCAAATAATTAACAAAATCTTCATTTCTCTCGATATCTTCTGTACTACTTTTGTCCACAAAATCTTGTACTGCAATGTCATCATCCAAATTTTTTGCACTGGATATTTTTGTTTGTTCAAAAAGTGATACAGTCTTTTCGATGAAATGCAAATTTGAATGAACAAAATCTAATTGTATATCATATTGTGAAGTTAATTTGTAAATACTAAAATAAAAGAGGAACAACATATTATTCATTTATATAACATCTTAGAATACGTCTATACATTTTACAACAATTTTACTGCAAAGTTATGAAATTTGATATTACTTACAATTCTGGTTTTGTCATATATCCAATTTTTGTAGAAGAAAAGCCATTTCGGAGTATGCTTGGAACATCATGCAGCGTATGTTCTAACAATTGTTGAAGATACGAGTGATGGGGCGTTAACGATGGAGGAAATTTATTTTCCTCATTCAATGGTAAATTAATGTAACTTATATTGGTGATACACTGTTTCATTGCGTCAACAAGTTCACGTGATATTAAATGTTTATGTGTAGTTATCTCAGGCTCTTCTCTGTCTACTTTGGAATCAATAGATTCCAAAAATTTAATATACGAGCTATTAACGTCCGGAATGTTTGGTCTGTATTTTAATTTGGTGGGACAGTGCACATTCATTAAAACAGCCTTTCTACCTTCAATGTATCTCTGCCATTCTCGAAAACTGAATAGTTTCATATCACAAATGCCTTCGTCAGCGATTACACTGAAATAAAAAAAGAATATATTATATAAAAAATAAAAATGATAAAAAAATTATAATACATGGAACATTGTTATACTGCTGTGTAAAGTTAACTCTCCATTTTATAAATTTATTTACAAAAATTACAACTATATGAAAGATGCTTTAGATATTTATTTGATGTATCCTTCTACATTTTTGTTAGTTAGAGCTGTATCGAATCGTGTCACGCAATCGTTTGTAATAGAATATGTAGAACATTATCAGAGGTAAAATATACTATTCCTATTTTTAGCAGATTTTTCAAATATACAAAGTCCCGCCTATATACTAGAACATACCCATTAATCCGTTCAGCAACATTACTCATTTCATATTCTGTAATGCCATCTAAACCCAATAATATTTTCAGTACCACAATAATAAATGCCATGGCACGAGCTTCATAATTGGGGATGCAGGATTTATTGTAAAATTTCATTTTTGGCGGAGCTAAAGCTACTAATCTTTCTGCATACAACGATACACCCCCTACAAGTAGTTTTACGTACTTCATTATGCATATCGATAATTAAGATTTCCAAATTTATTTATACACGCATACATGTATAATGCACATACTTGGTAGATCTAATTCATTGCAATATCGATTGATAATCGATAAAAAATCTGGACATATTATTTTCACAACTCCTAGAAATTTCGCCATTCTTCCTATTATTTGTCTCATACCCTTATGTGTTATGTCAGTAACCCGTGATAAAAAATTTATATTACTTCCTGTTAAAATTACTTCAGGAGGTATCAAGTGATTCAACTTGTAATAAGATAAATGCCCTTCTCTCCCGTATCTACAAAAACACACAAATTAATATATACAATTTAAAAATAAACATCAGTACACAATATTGTAACATAAATATGTGTATTTAAAAAATGATTGAAAGAACTAAGAATAAAATAAAATTGGTGGCCTACCTTAGCATATCTCCTAAATGTATGTCCTGATTATGAATCCTTAAAGCTAAATACAAGATTGCCCATAATTTTGCTGGTGTAATTAATTCTGGTCCTGTTTTATATTGAGTTGTTACATGATTTCGCTTGTATTTGCTGCGTTTGTGTTTTGGTATTTTTTTTGCCAAATTTTTTACTCTTTTTGCTTCTTCCTTAGCAGAAAAATTAAATTGTAATCTGCAATAAAAATATTTAAAGGTGCAATAGTGTGTTCATAATTTTGCATATTTCCATTCTGATATACCTTATTCGCGTTTTCCTACCTGCTATTTTCATAAGATTGTTTTGCAGTAGACTGCACACTATGTACACTTTGACTAAATGTACTGAATGTATCTCTTTCAGAACTTGCTTGTGACTGTACAAATCTGTCATAATCCGCAGTAATCATAAGTTTCTGTGTATAAAAGATATTACATTTATATTTATAACACATTTATAACATATAACACAAGATATTTATAACAAATTCAGAAATCAGATGCTACAAATAAAATACATTTGTCCAATTATACCTTATTACGATTCAATTCTCTCAAAGAAGTTTCTTCGCTCAAACAGGTAGAAGCTGTTGAATCTGTTACACTAGTTTTTTTCCGTTTTCTAGCTCTTTTTTGTGATAAAATTTTGCCATATATAATTTCAGCATCTCTATAAAAATGTATCATTTTATTATTTATTATTCTTAAGCATTAGCCTGACTAGAAAAGTTGTTAATATAAAAATTTTATCATAGAAAATGATAAAATTCCCAATAACCTTTTCTTGTAACTCCTGGCTAGTTTCGGCACTAGTTTTCTTTTTGTGGATGTAAAAGCTACTTCCAATTTTCCTAAATACCTTGCCCATAGTTCCAACACTGTTATTTTTATATCAGCTGTTACACCAAGTTCAACAAGTTCATTTGTTAAGCCTATTAAGACAAAATTATATAGTTCCCAAGATGTCCATCCAAGTTCCTTGTCTGTAAAGAAATATCAGATTTATGATATCGTCAATAGTAATTGTGCTTAATAAATATTTTTATAAGCATCACATTTTACACGTTACATCATAAGATAAACGTCTAAATATTCAGCTATCCATCAATCAACTAGTTATTATTTGACTTATTAAAAAATATGAAGCTCAGAAATATTTAAAAAAACTTTAGTAAATTAAGTTTATGTACAAAAAGAATTTGAAATTATTTCACTATGTGTATTCTAGATTATGTTTGATATAGATGCGCATCTAATATTCTTTTGCAGATATTTAATCGACTATCAATTAATATTCATTTCATAATCATCAATTAATAATTATCTTGCATATATTTCTGTTAAATAAACCTTTATTTTTATTATGTATACAAAAAAAAGGGGAGGAAACTTTGATGAGGGAAAATTATATCTTCTAACAATAACCTTTTAAATGTTGAAACACTGGGACATTTATCTTTTAAATCATTCTTCTGAAATGAAAGAAACATACCCGTTTTGTCACTTCTTATGCGACGAATTCTCGTTTTCCGCAATCTTACAGTATTTTCTATAGGCAGTTCTAGTTCTACTTCTTCCCTGATATCCTAAACAAATTTTAAATTATAACATATTTCTTTTCAATATAAACATCTCTCGTGGAACTTACCTGACTTTGCGTTTGACATGTTGCGCAAAAGAAATAACCAGACGCTTTATAAAAATCAGTGCAATTGCAGACTTCGCATATCAACATTTTCATATAGAAAATATCTTTGAAAGATTAAATAGTAATAAATTGTAATAAATTGTAATAGATGTAGTATTTCAGCACTATTTCAATCCAGGACACAAAGGATTGATAATTCTTGCAACTACAACAATCGCAGTCTCGATTCAGAGACGCTTTGCATCATTAAATTTTTTGCATTCTGATATCATCAAAGTATTAGGTATACTTTGCTATCGAATTTGGCTAATTCATCGATGAATGAGGCGTGTTGGAACTGTAACAAGTTCTCACCGCGCAAGTGAAAGGAAAATAAAACTGTTCTCGTATCCCTGTAGGTATCGATAGACTAGGAAGTTGATCTTATCGCTGGAGAAATTTATTGTGCCTGACATTCACGGCTAGCACATATTCACGCTGACAATTGCGTCGAAAATTCCTTTCCCAATTCACTCGAACGCGCGCGATATTAATTTTCACTGTCATGAAAATCGCCACTATTTATCGTTGGAAGCTAGACACGCTTCGTGAGCACTTCGTGAATG